GTAGAATAATATAAATTATCGCCAAATTAAAATTTTGCTCAAAATTTTCATGCTTGTAGTATTTAATAGAAAGAATATTGTAAAGATATTATTATTTTGAGAACGTTAACAATAATTTTGAAAGTAAATAATAGATTACAAAAATTTACTGTTCTATGACAGAGAGAGAATTATTAAACAATTGATTAATTTCTTCTTTTCAATAATTTTTTTCAATTTTCAATAATGTCAAAGAAACTGAAAATAGTAAATGTGTAACAGATAATATAATCTATTAATAATCGGATCTAAAATATAATAAATCTAATGTCTCTCTAATATCTAAATCTAAAATAATCTAAATATTATACAATAAATCCGTATGTTTCATTCATTATAGCGTTAATTTTTGGCGTTAACAGTGAACTATTCTCTTTAATTTAGCTGAATAATTTATTGAGCAAAAGTGAGAATACAGTTTCGATTGAAACACAGATGGCCATTTTGGTGCTATTCAAATTTCATGAAGAATCACTTATCCCGCGACCTATTGATCGAATTTTCTTCACATTTGTGAAGCGTGGCCTTCAAATGTGAATTTATTTAGTCACTCTGATTGGATCTGTTATAATCTCTTAATTTAAACTTATTGATATAATTTAATATTAATGTATGAATTAATAAAATTTAATGCACCTTGTTAAAATATAGGTACATTAAGAGGTAGAAGACGAATAAAGCGATAAATAATAATGTCTTAAAATTTTCGAATTCTTTTATTAAAATAATTTAGAATTTCAAACATTGTCGTCTTGTTATGAACATGTACCATGCACGAAAACAATTCAGTTAAATTTACGGTCAATCTTGGATACCTTTTATTCTTTAGAAATAAAAGGTGTAATAAAGAAACTCGTTAACGAATTATTTAACAAATCACGCACGTTTTGTTAAATATTTCTCGTTGACTTTGCAACGACTCTAAATATTAACCTATTAATATTTTAGTTCCCTGACTTTATCTGGTCATTTTAAGTCTACAAATTTATTTTAAATCTTATGAGGCAAAATTTAAATGAATGGTAGAACCTAGATTTTAGAAGATTTTTATATCAAAATAATTGAAATATATATGTGTAGACCTTTTTTGTAATGATTAAAATAAATATAAATTTAGAATTTTTAAAAACAAAATTCTCAACTTAGAATTTTTACTTCAGCAGAATAGATTCTGTTTAATTTTTTATTCTTAATAGTTTTAAAATTATATGACTAATGAAAGTTAACAATTTTTTTAATAAATTATGTTAAGAATAAAGATCATTTTTTATAATCCGTTTTATTAAATTTTATACAATTTTTTAAGACATGTTTCAAACTTATGATCTTAAAAGGAATGAATTTCATTTTTAGAATTTATTGAAAAAGTATTCATTGCAATTTTCTTGACTGTTATTACTATTTCTAGTAATAATTTGATATACATATACTGTTAAATCTATAGAGTATCAAATTTAACTTAATTTCATCACTGCTCAATATATCATTATTTTACACTAAAATAACGATATATTGAGTAAGATCATTGGCGACTTAAATTAGGTCAAATTTGAAACCATAGATTTGATAGTGTAGGTACTTCAAATAGTATAACAACTCAATTCGTAATTTTTCAAACATAAAACCTAAAAATGTACGATAAAAAAGATGTATTTTTCAAGTTTCTTGTTTAGATTGCCATTATATAGATTTCAATTTAGCGTAAGCTGCAGATATTCTCGGAAATCTTGGAAATAGATACTTGGAAGAAACATCTAAGCAATAAAAAAGCGAGAAGATCTAAGAAACAATTGTCTTCGCTAGTTTCTTTCTTTACGAAATAAATGTAAAAAACATAGGCGGATTTAGGTCTGGATTTAAACAGCAGACTGCGGCCAAATGAAATAAATATAATTTCCAATCGAATAAAATAGGATTAGGACAAAAAATCCTAGAAAAATTATTACACCAGTTTCTATATAAATCCAGAATTACATTTAATTGTTTTTAGCTTAACTTTAATTAATTTATACATTTAATATTTAACTGTGATTTTTTTCCAAACGAATTGAATAATTAAACATGATTGACTTAATGCAAGAATATTTGTACAACCTTTTATAGCTTATTGATTTTTTGAACAGGTCAGAGAGAGAGAGAGAGAGAGAGAGATTTTTCTTTTACAATCAAATTCTCATTTTCTACCATTTGCCAATGACACAATCTGATCGATTGCCACAAAAAATGGATGAAGACAATTTAATTAAAATAAAATAAAAGTCATCAAAGATATGCCAATATTTGAATCTAAAAGTGCATATGCTTTTAATGAAAAGAATCATGGCACTTTTATAAATCATATATCTCATGTGTCATGTCAATATCTGAAGATAAATTGGCATATAGTTTATAAAACTGAATGTATAGATATATAATCTTACACTGAAATATTATTAACTATAAAGATATAAATAAAACCGAATAAGACATTTTCCTACTTATTGTTAGTTGTGTTCACATATCGATCGATCTAATGTTATTTATTATTGATTAGAAATCTTCTTTTATAAGTGCATTTATTTGCGTAAATTTTAAACACAAATCATGTAATTCAATATCAAATATTAGGTTAGCAATGTTATATACATTTATAAGTTATCATTTTTTTTTAACAGGTAAATAGTAATAATTTTAATCTTCTAGAGGCGAATATTGGAAATTCACACGTTCACTTCAAAATTACATTCGAGATAAATTCGGGATGGATGCAAATTAGTTACTTAAGAACTAAAAATGGAAAGTAAAACAGCTTTTTTTATGACAAGACGAGCTGTCCCTGAAGACTTAAGGTAATTTTCAGCCATGAATATCAAATGTGGTAAACATAATGAAAGTATGTTCCGCAGAAAAGCTTCTATGCACGTAGATGTACCTACTTTTCATCGTTAGCAATTCTTTGAAATCAATTTTGCAGTATGATTATCTTTAAAGACAGTATTTGCGCATAAGCACCCTTAATGCTACACCGAGTGTATACGTGAATGTATGCAAATGTCTCGCATACATATGCGATAGATGCATTTGTATGTACATGCGTACGTATAGACCGACAGCTAGTAATAGAACACCACAGGCTGAGTGTATTCAGTCGATGTTACTGGGAATCAGATTTATAGTGTCCTAAGAACATAGCGTCTATTCGATAAGTGAAGTCACTTTACTCTCGTAGGAATTGCAGAAAGTTATGGGACTCCCCACGCCAGAAAATCGATGTAACGATGGTTTAGAATTTCAGGGCATGCCTTACTTTCTTTCATCGCGTAGAGAAGACAAAGCTCAGATGGAACGTGCTGAGAAAAGAATTGAACGTGATAACACTTCTAAATGTCGTGATTAAATCGTTTATTGTAACAAAGTTATATCGGGCACTTCAAATTAATAAAATTGTCATTAATTTAATTCTATCATTACATCAAAATGTAATTGTACATATATACAATTTGTTATATAAATGCATTTTAAACAAAAAGATAACAGAAATATCTGGGAGTTATCTAATTTGATAAAATTGAAATTAAATTGGCGTGACAAGTATTGGATTGGAACAAAAGTTCGTAGCGCTACGAATTTCAAAATTCAAGTAGTCGTAATTTTGTTAAAAGCGAACAAAATTTAAATTTTAAAAAAGAATTTTTAAGCTTAAAATCTCTATTTTCGAAAAGTCACTTATGTCTTTTGAGTTTCTGTAAGTTTAATAATTTTTACATATATAGAAAACTACAAACTAAACAAAATTTTCTTCTCATTTCATGGCCCTTAAACACTTATTACGTATTCAAAAAAACTTATAAAAATTTGTTACAATAATTATTTTCTATTGTAAATATTTAACATTTTCTCTAAAAAATTATTGTTTAAAAATGTATTTTCTACGGTTTTTGTTACCTTTATTGAATTATTATGGATTAAGTAAAAGAAGTATTTTGATTGTTCAACACTTTGATTGTTCATATATCTCCATGAAAAATGATCATACCACAATTAAAAAAAAAAACAGATTCTTAAAACTGATACTTTGCTCTGTCGAATTGTATAATTGTCGAATTTTTTTTTTTTAATATAGACATGATATATACAAGTGAAATAGCGCAACAAATTTTTGTTTCAACCTTACACACACACACACACATGCGCACACACAAAATATATATGTATGTACAAATATATATATACATACATATATAATGGAATCTGTATCTATTATTTGAACTGAAAAATACAGAACAAATATGAACTGTCGAGGATAAAATTTGCTTACACTGAAACCGACAGAACAATGTATCGGAGCTGTTCATCGATTTGTGTGAATCGAAACCCTTGAAAACGTCGATACCCTCAAAAAAATGTACGTCCAAAATCCTACTAGTCAGGATATCGTTATTTATCCAAGCATCCAAACGCAAAATAACAGATTAAGTTTTAAATGTTGATGTTTACGATACTTCGTAAAACGATCGCACATAACTTTAAACGAAACCGATGCTTTATTTAAACCGTAAATGCAATTTTTTACGGAACACTCTCGGTATTATTTCGAACATCAAAGCAATATAGGTAGTTTCCCGTGGAACGCTATCTTTGTGCATAATACAGCGTATATACAACGTACATTCTTGTTAAGAAATTCCGTCATAATGAACGTCATTTCATCAAAGGGCTTATATAAAGAATGCATTTATCCGAACAGAAAATAAGAGTCATAAGGAAACGAGCTATTTCGTGCAGACGTATATTTTAAGGTACTGTCGATGGAAGAAAAAATGTATAATCTTATACGGTTATTTAACAAATATCATATCGTAACGCAGATATGAATTACGACAAAATTTTAAGTTCTTACGACATATATATTTAAAGCTAGTGGAAATAATTATAAAGTAAAACGATCTTCTATATAATTTTTGTATATTATATTTTTCCAGTGCAACCAGCGTTTGTACGTGTCATCGATGAAAATTCCAAAAATACTTTGAGCACTGGCGCCACTTTAGGACCTATAAATGAGGGCTCGACAATATCATTGTACTGCGAGAGTGGAGAAGGCAAACCTGTACCTACGGTTGAGTGGTTTAAAGATGACGAGCTACTCGAAGGTAAGGATTTGCAATTTGCTTACATTGAAACCGATAGGATCAGATGTATTTATAAGTTCATACGTGCTTTTGAGGAACTTTGAAAGAAGACAAGCCAAACTTAGTTCTTTAATTGATAACATTTTCTACAAATATCTTTTTCTATTAAATAATTTAGCCTTATGCGATAATTCGACAATTTTTTATTCTTGTAGTAATAATAATAATTAATTACCAAGTAAAGACGAGTATATTGCGCAGTAATAAAATTAATGAATTTAAAATACTAATCAGAGTATCGATCATGTAACTTTTTCCCTAGGAACATGGAAAATGAAAATTTTTTTTATTAATTTTAATGGTAAAAATTTTCATTTGTTATACTTCCGTCTTAAGGATAAAGTTACATAATCATTACCCGGATAATATAACTATAATTTAATTATGTGAAATGTAATATAACTGAACCAAATGTAATTTTATCTATAAAATGATCTCTAATAGAATTTTATCTTATATAATAACACCTATAATAATTAGAATCAAATAAATGAATGCTCTGAATGTGTAATTTTATTTCCATGCTTTAGTGAAATTGCATGTACATTAAAATGTAAAGGAAGCATTACCATTGAATCATTATTCAAATGCGGATATTGAAAGACAAAGAAGCTTTAGCTTTCTTTATTAATCAGCTATCGGATAATCCGTGTTATTCGATGATATTATCAGGATTTTCTGTTTTTATTGTATAATTAACTTTGTGTTTTACTTTTAAAAGAAATATGAAACATTATTGTAATTCTTTACACATATTTCAATATGTATTTCATTTTAAATTCATGTTACTTGTTAAAATAATGAATAACAAAAATTTCTTTTTCTCTCTGAACGATATCTATCAAAAAATGTTCTATTTTAGCAACGAACTCGAGGACTGTCACCGATACCGGAATTGGTACTGGCAGTAGTTTACTGGAGATGCAAATTACACGAGAAGAGTTAGGCGCAACTTTCACGTGTAAAGTCAACAATATTGCACTCGTGGAACCACTAACAGTTGACATTAACCTAGACATACATGGTGAGTATACACATCTCATTCGAGAATAACAAGATATTTACAATCCGTTAAGAAAAGCATATCGATTTATATGACATTATTTAAATATCTTTAATATCGTAAAAAGCTCTTGTGCCTTTTTTATTAACTTACACAAAAGATCTTTCTGTATTGTACTTTTAATTGCATTAGAAGACTATCAGCTAAGCTAACAGTCTTTCAATTACTTAATATTCGTCATCACGTAATAATAAAGCGCTCAATGCTAAAGCTTTTCAATATACTCTTTTTAATTAAAAAATATACATTGACCATCACGTGATACATTGACTATGTATATGAATCGATTATCGCATATTTCATCGATATGTAAAATGCTATATGTCTGAATCGCTTACAATTTCGATCGCGCGATGTATGTAATTTGCGTATGATATAATACACAATTAGATAACCGATTACTACAAACTCAATGAGAATATAGTAATAGAATGAATGTGAGTACTTTGACCTAAATTTGCAGCAATTCTGCCGAGTATCGTTTATTCATTAAATCAAAACATCGGGTAACATCGGGTAACATCGGATAAACTCACTGTTGTAGTATGAATATGAATGACACCACGACCAGGGTACTATATCAACGCAGCCAAACGAGAATTTTTGCACGGAGTGTATCTACTGTAGAATATGAATGAGCTTAACGTTCAATGTCAATTAGCGTTTTTTAATAAGGTCTGCAGCAAGTTATGTAATATTAAAGATTAAAAAGTTTAAAAATCTTACTTTGTTAGTAAAAAAGGAAATTCCTTTTCTCAATCTCAAAAAGATTTTATTTTAGCTTTTATTTTTCAAATCTGTATCCAATTAAATTTTTGGATATTTCAACAAAATTGTTCTTTCTATAAAAAAAAGTTTGGCTGTTGCAATATGCACAATTTTAAATCTGGATAATCTGAAGACACAAGTAATAAATAATGTAGTAATATATTTCTAGTAGGTACATGCGATAAGAATTGGTCGCTATTGATTATTAACAGCTATTGATTGTTAATCGTTCACATAAATTAAATATTTTAGTAATTGTTAATTAATACTTTTTACATATTCAACACATAAAGTTTGAACACAATTTGTAGACAATCGATTTTATATCGTAGCTTTCTATTTTCTCCAACATCTTTAATAATATATGTTACATTTGCGGCAAACTGATTCAGCAATGTGTTATGTTCGCACTAAACTCTATGTGCATATTATGCTTACGTAGGCTGTATTATGTACTATAAAACAAACCGACCCGCGGCTATTTCCTTTCGGTACAATAACGTAATTAAAGAGCTCTATTCTAAAATTTAATTATTCAACACGAGAATCTTCCGGACTGAGTCATTTCCAGGGTTGTTTTGTTTAAAACTTTTTTTTAAACAAATATTTAAAACATGTTTTAAAAATTAGACTAAATTAAACATGCTTTTTTTAAACAATTTAAAACAAATTTATTAGAGCTCTAAGAATTTTTTTAGAATTTTTAAATATTTTATTTTCTCATGTTGGTAAAAATGAAAAATGCAGTAGGTACTAAAAAGTTGATAAAAAATTCTGAAAAAATTCGTAGGGAAGTTCTATGAGAAGAAAATAAACAATTTTTGTCTTTTATAGTTTTTCCGTAAAGTTGATAGTATTTGAGTAAAAAATTATTGAAGATCAATTTTCGGCAATTTTTAACACTTAATATCTTGTTAATTATTGGGAAAATTGCAAAATGGTAGAGGACTTTTCTTTTCAGTTTAGTCCATTCTGCCCCTATGCGAAAGATTTAAAATTGTTTTCCAAACACCCTGCATATAGACAGCTCGCGGTACTAAAAATCTATAATAACGTAAACTATAGATTAATATTAGAACTACAATTAGTTCAAAGAATAATTATTTTGAAATAAAAATTTCAAAAAAAGAAGCCGTGAGTAATCAATACGCATAAAGGCCACATTAGCAAAATGCTATGCTATTGTTTAAATTTGCATGACTTAAAATGTATACACAGTCAAATAAAATGTTAAATAGAGCAAACAATACACTCAAATATACACATATTCATATGATAATACGCTCAAGTTTAAGAAAAATGAAGAAATAGGTGTAATTAAATGCTAAAATGTACCTCAGAAACGTTTCACAATACTTGAAAGTAAAAATGAATTATAATAAAATATAATAAAAATATATGTTTAAAACGTGTTTTTTTTAACATGATTTTTTTCTAAAGCTGTTTAAAACATATATAAAACATTAAAAACATGTTTTAAATAAAAAAAACTGAATGTTTCGGTTTTTTTTAAATATATACGTTTTTGTGTGTGTGATCAACCCTGGTCATTTCACAGTTCCGCAGGCATTCACTGGCATATCCAGCCACAGGTTTAACCATAAGAAATAGCTGAAGAGGAAAAATGGCAATGCCATATACTTCCATATTTTACCGCACAATAATGCAATTCGAACGATCTATGGACGCAGAGTTTGGAATTCGCTTTGAGAGGACGACTCGGTGCTTAAAATCTCTGAAATTCGCGCGAAGTGAGTATGCGAGTGCAGAGACATCACGCTTTGAAAAGTCTCTTGTAAAGCGAGAGTACACGAAATCCGATTTCGTACGTGGAAAAGTGGTTTGCATCTCGAATTTGGATTTCTGCACTGACAGAACTGCGCGTACAGTCATAAACCACTCCACTACCGAATTTTTAAAACTGGCAGAACATATTTTTAAACTTTGCTACGGAATTTCATACGAAATATAACTGGTACCTCTATATCATATCAGGTAAAGTTAATTTTACATGTAACCATGCGACGTAAACTATAACATAAAATGTAAAATTAATATACTTCGTACTTATTATCGCAATAAACAACCTAATAATTTTTTTATATATTTTAATCTAGTTAAAATAATTTGAAAGCGAAAAGTCAATTATACGCAATTTCTCTTTCAGCAGAAACGCAATTTAATAAAGTATATAAAGTACTTGCATTTTTATCAACAACCAGATAAATGAAATTTAATATTGAGATACTTTGTAAAGCGTCAAATTGATACGTATATAAATAAAAGGAAATATATATTGTGTACATTATTAATTATTCAACGAGAAAACGCACTTAATATAATTGCACTTAATATAATATACTAAATTATATTGCACATTAATCAAATTATCACAATACGGAACTGTTACTCTAGAATTCAGATCGACACGACAGAGAAACCTTTAATGGAATTCTCTCATTAACCGCTACCTCATGTCAATACATAATTTTAGTAGAAAATTATTCTGTTTCATCGGATATACGGTTTTCATAAATATAAATTTCGAGCGGCTTTAATAAACTACCTATTGTCCACTTCCGTTTAAAATTGTAGTACACCGTAAATTATTCAATATTACTAAACAATGTGCTTGATAAATATGGAACAGAGGAGAGACATTTCTATAATTTAAGGGAAAATATACATCGCTTAGGTAAGCGAAATGTCTGATGTTCTTCTATCTTTTTAATAGCACGAGTAGTAATGGACTAAAAAATATATATATGTATATATTCAGAAATTTTTACTTTGTTTCTTTAATATATACATGCATCGTCGCTGCATGAATTCGCCGATTAAAGTACATGCACGCCATTACGGCGGTACTTGTAATTAAAGCATACCGTATCCGTTAACTGAACTTTATTTAAGCGTGAATCTACTCACGCGTATACGAAATTTTGCATGTTGTAAATAATTAAATGTCTATCATTTAGCGCGTGTCAGAAGGGATTTCCACGCGTGCGTGCAAAATCACTGATGATCAATTATAATACGAAATTAATGTGTTGCATAGGCCATTCTTGTGTTGTAATTAGAAATTTATTAACATTAATCGAATTCCACGCCGCTATATGATAATATCACTACACCAATAGATACGCGAACACGTGTATTTCTCGGAGTATCGATAACCGCGTTATTAACTGTGAAATAGAGACTGATTTCCCTCTTACGGGAGGCTCCGATTAATAAGTTATTGCGCGTTGATCTCTCATTATTGAATCATTTATTTATTAATATTCACTAGGTAATTATTAGGACAAATATAATGCTATGATATTGCCGGAGAAGCAACTGTCTTACGAAATATAGCTTTACCATTTGTACTCTAAGTGTCGTTAGAATTATCGACACACATGTTATTCATAAACCTCTCGCAATTTCTCGCAATAATTACTATCGACAATTAGATTTAGTTAACGTAACTGTTATAATGAGGACAAACAGGATTCTTCCGATAATTCAAGCTCGCTACAATTGTATTATTTGTAAAGCAATGACAATTCTAATTCTCATTAAATAATGAGATTTGCATAATGAATTCCTTTCGTAATAAAAAAATGCTAGGACGAAAAATTATTATGCGCTAAAAAAAACAATTACTCGGGAACGTGTTGCGTGTTCTTTCTGATACTCGATAAAAATGCAATTAAAGAGATAAAAACGTAGTTAAAGGAGTTAATAATATATTATTTAAATAATTACAAAATGCGCTAATATATTAAAAATGCATTTTATCGTAAAAGGCCACGGTTTTATCGAGATAAAACTTTAAGTTATAGGTCAACTAATCTTATATGCTACATACAATATCTAATAAGAATTAATTTTATTTTAATACTTTATTTTAATACAAACACTTTTTATGTTAGTAAATTAAAAAAAATTTGAAGAGGCAGACATTTACGAATAATTCACTTCTAACTACATGAATATTTTTCTTTTTGCGTTGCATTTGTAATGCTTTTATTCGCTATTGCACGATTCTTCTGCGTTATACGGGATTAAAGAACACGATATCATTCAACGCTTTTGCTAACGCGTCGACATTGTTCATTTTGATCTCGTATCGTGAAAAATTGTCTCAGCGTGCGATAAAAACTGGATAGGAGGAATATAAACGGGCTAACGTGAAAAAGGAAAGGAAT